TCCAACATTGTTGTATTATTTATTGTTTGAATTTATAAAGAGGAGGGGGAGATAAGATGCAAGGGAGTTGAGCGAAGAAGAAGAGCTTTGACATTGGTTCTTGCTGGTGTACATTGTCTTTTCCAATCTTTTCTACTTCTTCTTCTTCTTATCCTCTCCATCCTCTCAAGTTCATTCGTTTCCTTTTGCAGTTGGTGAACATTGTGCTGATTGGTGAATTTGTACTTCGCAATTGGTCCGGGTCATAACAGGAGTACTTTCTATCTCTTACGGGGACAGATTCATGCCGGTCTTGATATCCACCCCACCCCTGCATGGCTGCTGTGCACACAAATCGCTTTCACACACAGAACACCCATCCAGGACATCAACCCTCGCAACCATCCTGCAGGTAAGCACACTTTTTAGGCCTTACGCAGCCACCGGGCTGGGTAAAATTCCCCGGCTAGTTACTGCGCTTAAATACAGAATTTGTGCATCTTCCTCGATCCGACCCGGCACGGAATCGAACCAGTGATCTCAGGCTTCACAGCCAGGTGTCTTAACCACTGTAGCCATGACACGGTGTTTGAAAGTGGATCCATGCCAGTCGTGATATCCACCCCGCCCCTGCATGGCCGCAGTACACGCACAAGTCGCTCACCCATGGGTTCCCAAACAGCGGTTGCCACAGCACTTCTTTGGAACTGGACTTACCCACTTTTTTAGGTGTTCTTGCCCTCCATAGTCTAATAAGTAGTGTCCTACAGTAGGGTGAGGGTGTTGGGTTTTCATTTGGGGCTGCTCCTCTTGCACATCTTTTGCAACTTGTCTTTGGACTCTATTCTTTATTCATAACCCATAAAAGACCGGACACGTTGGAGACAGATTTTGTTGGGGCCAGTGTTCTGATGCTCTCTCTTCCCAAGTTGTTCCAGGCCACGGTAGGTTTTGTTTAGTCACGTTCGATAACCCCCATTTTAGTTGAGTGCTTTTGCTTTTTGCCTTGGGTCAGTTTATCCCTAAACCCCCTAAAGAAGGTTCCATGCAATCTTTGGTAAATTTTCATTTCCTGTACGACACCCTTGGCAACTTCCATTGGCTTTCCTGTGCATGTATGTGTGTCATTCTGCTAAGTCTTGACTCTTGAGTGGATTACATATTTGTGGGTACTAAGTTGCTATTACCCTTTGTGCGGGCTGTTGTGCTGTGCCTTGGGAGGGACAGAACTAAGCAATTCTGGATAAGTAGTTTGTGGATATAGGGGCAGGATGAGAAATTCGACAGCCTAGGTATACTGGCAGGGACCCATCAGGGATCGTTCAACAACTTGTAGAGGTCCAGGGTCCAGGAGAGTTTAGAGGTAATAAGTGTAACGGTGGTAGCAGTCTGAATATAGGTGAGGTTTCGGTCCAGATTCCAGATAGGTTAAGTCCAGAGGAGCTCAGTCTAAAGGTCCAGGGTAGAGGTGAGTTTAGAGGTTAAGTGTAACGGTGGTAGCGGGCTGAATATAGGTGATGTCTACGTCCAGACAGGTGAAGTCCAGAGTAGCTCAGTCTCCAATGATTTTCCCACTGATTGGGAGGCCAGTAGGCCCAGTAGCAACCCAGCCTGGACCTGGAGCCCGCAACTCAAGCTGACCTTGGGTGAGTCCCAAAACCGATTCCTTTCTTCTTCTTCTTCTTCTTTTTTTTTTTGGCCAGAATCGATTCCTATTGCACGCAACAAAGGAAAGATGGTTCAAAAACCAGCAAAGAACCCAATTCTCGAAGCCCTGACTGACTCTTTGTTGTGCTTTCTCAGCTGACAAACTCCCATGAGTCAACTACCCAGTGCTGTAGACCGACTCTTGAGCCATATCTTCCACCCTCAGGGGAGTGTTTTAGTACAAAAAGGTATTCCCATTTCACGGAACAAGAAATACCAATAATAGACCTAATGCGCAAAGCCTTGACTGCCTCTTTGTTGTGCTTATGCCATTGTCTGTCCTCTCTCTCTCTCTCTCTCTCTCTCTCTCTCTCTCTCTCTCTCTCTCTCTCTCTCTCTCTCTCTCTCTCTCTNTCTCTCTCTCTCTCTCTCTCTCTCTCTCTCTCTCTCTCTCTCTCTCTCTCTCTCTCTCTCTCTCTCTCTCTCTCTCTCTCTCTCTCTCTCAGACTGTTGTACTCCAAGGATGCATCAAGAGGACGCTCGCAGACTTGAAGAAGTGGATGGCGCCAGAGAAGGTAAAGATTAATGTCAGCCTTATGGCTCTACTCAAAAGAATGATGAATGCCATAGCAGTGGGCTGGCTTCTCCAGGGACATCCAGTGGACATGTGGGCTAGGCTGATTTTATTTTATTTTATTTTTTTTCAAGGAAAGGTGGATGGCGATATCTGAGGGGGGAAATGCCCACGTGTAATACTTTTTCATTTTGTTGGTTGCAAGGAGCCACTCCTAAACAAATTGCTCTGTTTTCCCTTGTGGAGGAAACATGCATGAATCAGAACTTGCAGGATCATGATAATCACCCAACACAGAGGTAATCCAGAATAACCGGAAGGACATTTCTGTGCGTTCAACTAACGAGTAACTGAACACGAGGATGATCTAGAACAATTGCTAGAACATGTGGACGATGACAAAGCTAGTCCAGGATCAATTGCCAGAACATGTGGATTTTTTTTTTTTGTTTTTTTTTTGTTTTGTTTTGGAACAAAGCTTCAATTTATTTGTGGGGAGTAGCACGTGCTGGGAACCGGGCCCAGCGTCCAAAGCTAATCCAGCACATGTGGGTAAGTTCAACTCATGAGTGGCTGAACGTAAACGTTATCTGGAACAACTGCTAGGACATGAGGATAATGTAACTCGAGTTTCTTCAAGTGTTTCTTTTTCTTTCTCTTTTGCTTTTAACATTGCAGTTCAAGGCCACTATCCAAGTGGTGTGAGAGAACCACCCGGATTGAGGCCTTCAGAAGATATTGATATTAGATGACGAAGATAACTTGAGCATTAGTATCATGGCGCTATCAACTTCCTCACCACACCTCCCTCTGTGACCCGAGGAAAGTCGATGCTTCCACTCATATGTCACTCATATGGCACTTATACACCACTCTGTTTGTGGTGGGCAGCAACTGCTGGAAATGGGGTCTTGCAGGAAGGATGCACTCAGCGACTGGCCTCTACAACTCCCCTGTACGAGCACACCTACCCCCGTGGCACTAAAGTCCAGATGATTGCCGTCCCTGTGACCTTCGCCTACCACTCCGACTTACAGGGTCAGCATAGCGTTAGTTTACTTTCGTTCACACTACCACCTCCCTTTTTAGTACTCAGGAAGAACCGTGGTCTCTGTGTACTAAACGAGGGAACGAAAATTAATAGCAGTAAATAATATTTCATTTACAATCAACAAGGTTAACAGAGTTTCAGCACAGGGCAGGTACAAACGCGACCCTACAGCCTGCAATCTCTATCGCTCCGACTTGACCTGAAAAGACCCATAGGTCTGGCCCGCCACGGTCCCATAACGGGATACCGACGGGCACCCTCTTCCCTTCAAGGCACACCGCCGGACTACCCCTAACGGGTACCCGTGTCCAATGGCAAGGAGGGGGCTTATGACCTTCCAAGGGAGGTGATAAGCCTCCTACCAAAGCGGCCGCGGGTTGCCCCTCTTTTGGAGTCCCGCTATGCAGCGCTTATCGGTCACGTCAATAATGGGTCGAACGTGAAGGGTCTGGCTACCAGTCTGCAGTCAAGGTTCGAAAATGGACCGCTGGTTCCCCCAGGACATGACTGGCGGGAAACTGAAGCTCGAAAGAGCTAGATGGAAAAGGAAAGTTAACAAAAGAAAAGGAGAATCAACAAAAAAGAAAAAGAGAAAGGGAAAAAACCCTAGCGCCACCTCAGCTATGGGATCATCCGATTTGACACCTGGGGGTAGCGGTCCGAATTTGGACACAAGTGTGAAATGTAAACTTTCCGTTTCCATTTTCCCCTTTTCCTTTTTATTTCATTTCTCTTCCCCTTCTCCTTTTTTAGCTTCCACAGCATCTGCACCAATTCCAAAACACGACCGTCGGGGCTCGGCATGCAGCTGAAAAGCCTGCGCCAGCTTTTTACTGTCGCGCCCCCGGGCGAGCCCGACGGCTACCACAACCACAGGCCGGCCTGCTGTGTAGCAGGGCGCGGAGCCTGTGTGGTCTAATTGGAAAGCCCAGTGGAGTGCGGAGCCTGGCACCCTGCGTGAGTCCGTGAGCAGGTATTTGGTAGGCAGCGGAGGGTCGGGACACCGCGCCCTCTGACATGATACCAAACCCCCGCCCAGCGTCCCCGCTGGGCCAAATGAAGTAGACAGTTAGTATAAGACAGCGAGAATCGGTGGTGCACTCACCCATTCTCACATTTTGCGGCGAAGCCCTCACATCGGGCTTGCGTTAGCACTTTCTCTTTTGCAATGCACCTTCCTCTTCTCCATTGTGCAGCAATCTTTCGTGGGCTGCTTCCTTAGTAGCGTGACCCTCTTATTCTCGCGACATCCTTTTAGTCTCAGTCTTCAACGTTGTGCACCTCTTTCTTTTCACCTTCTTCTCAATCGTAACTTCATCTTGTGCCATGCCTGAGGCACACCGGGGACAGGGAAGAGGGAGAGGCGGAAGAGGAGGGAAGGCTCTTGAGGAGCCCGCTCCTCATGCCAGAAGGCACTTCAACTCAGAGGAGGAGGAAGAAGAGAGATATGGATACGGGACGTACTCAAGGGCGTATCCACGTTACTCGTTACCCAGTTGGTTCGAAAGAACTCCATCCCCAACAAGGATGGAGTATTATCAGAAGAAGTATGAGGCGCGCTACGACGCCTCTAGTACTTCCTCCCCTCGATATTCCCCTAGAGTACCTACTACCTAGTAGTAGGCAAGGCATTAGTGCTTGCACCCTCGCCCTCTATCCCGTGCGTGGTTTCTTCTTTCCCCCGGGTTAACAGTTGCACTCTGTGTTGCGTTTTCTCACTCCTCATTCTACTCCAGATAGAGTTCATGATTGTCCTTTATATCTTGTATAAGCGCGACGTCTTTTCTTTGAATTTATGAATCTTTTCTTTTCTTGGCTCCTCAATCCGTTCTGTACTTCATGATGTTCCTGGCTTGAATGTTCGAATACCCTGAGGCTGGGGATGCAGGTTCCTTGTGAACCAGACCGCTCTGTTGGCCACCAAATGAAACTTAAGAAGGATTTCATCTCAATTTTCTCATTTGCAATCGATTTTGATCTCTTGTCCTCATGAAATCTGATTTCTCTTTGAGCTTTTACAGTGGAGAAACTACCTTGTCTCTCACTTTTGATAGTGACTTCGGCGATATTATCAATCTGGTGTTAGCATTATGGACAATTGTTATCAGCAGTATCAGGTGTGAGGCATACCAAACCCTTTTTCTCGTTCTCTGGCCTGAGTGAGACGTCTTCTCAACTTCTCAAGCAACTGGGGGGGATACCAAACCCCGTTCTCTTGTTCTGATCTGAGTGAGGCGTGTCCCCAACTTCTCAAACAGATAAAGGGGGATAACAAAACCCCTTTATTTTTCTCCAGTCTTGGAGCTTCAGACGAATTTGCATAAACCTGCAAAACAACAATTCCCACAAACCACCAAGCATGATCCCAGCATGCAAACTCCCCAACAAGCAGTCATCAAACAACAATTAAATAAAGTAAATAAAAATAAAAACTCATAATAAACCAGTGAATAATGTAAACAGTTCGTCATACCCAAGAGTTATTGATTGCTTTGGTTTTGGCCCACCACTAGCCAGGGGTGGCAGACCTCCCGTTAGCTTGATAACCCTCGTTCGGTCCGCCTCAAGCCAGGACTAATCAGACCATTTGTATTGACAACCCCTTTAACATGCCTCCAAGTTAGGACCACCATACCCACTACTCGAGTATGGTGACCCTTTGGCGCACCTCACGCCAGGACACCCAAACTAAGCGGGTCTGGTCACCCCATAACAGTAGACCTCCCGTCAGTCCATTTGTCCCGTACCTGGATTTTACCACTGCAGTCGGGGACCGTCTCACCCACCTGTTTTTGGCCTAGGGCGTTGGCTGCCCCACCCAGATTTTTGAACGTAGGACCCGGTCTAACTACGATTCCAGGCTCTGGCGAACCTTACTGGATTGCATCCTCTGACAGCGGTAGGGTTCCAGCTGACCCCTTTTGACCTCACAGGCCAAAGCCCTGGAGTCTTTGCCTCAGCCACTAGATTGCAACCTACTGCGGTAAGGCTCTGGTTGGCCTCGACAATCAACACATCTTAGGTTAGAGAAGAAAACCCCGGGTATAGACTGTCAAACAAACATATCAAGCCCGCAGTCAGATAACCCATGCCCCAAATAATTGAACGAACATTTCTCAAGATACGTCCCTTCAGTCTCAAGAGACACTGAACAACAACAAATGACAACCGACGGTGTATTTCCTAGAGACCTCTCTTCAGCCTCAAGGAATACAAAGTGTTGTTCCCAGCGAGGTCCCTTCCCTCATCTGAGAATACTCCCAAGAGACATCCCGTCAGTCTCAAGGAAGTATAGAGATACTGATCCCAAAGAGGTCCCTTCCCTCATCTGAGATAGAAGATGGGCAACATAGTCAAGAAACACGAAGTCCCTCTGCCTACAGCTCTCTGGTCAAGCAAAGTTGAACTTCTTTAGGCCCATCTTCTTGATAATGTTCTTGGACAGGCCACTCAGTCAAAAGACTCGAAGTCCCTCTACTGACAACTCTCTGGTAAAGTAGAGTTGAACTCCTTTATGCCCATCATACTTCCTCTTTGTTACAAGAAATTAATACTGATTACTCGTGGATACTCACAATTGTTCCTCACTTAGGGATCTGATACTCGTGGATCGACAATGGCTCTGCATCAATGACTTGATCTTATTAATTTTGCCACTGGCAGAAATAGAAAATAATCTCGCATACAGAAATGAACATAAACCGTAGGAAGGCTCTTTCTTAAGTTTCTCGTGTCAAAATTGACATGTTGGAAACTGACATATTGAATTGACAATACAAGAATAATCAGAGTTTGTTGAAACTTTAGTTCTGGTAGTGTCTCACCGCCTCACTGTACTTCTTTTCAGTTTTCTGGAACTGCTCTTTTGTTGGATGACTGACCTTTCTTTCCTTTCTTTGTGGTCATTGTAGGAACTACATCAGGGTCTCTGGAGATAAACTTACGAAGTC